AACTTCTAAAGAGTTATTATAAAATGATAGACTAAATGGAAGGCAGTTATTCGACATCATCCACCGCCACCTATTGAGCTATTCTTATCTCATCAAATAGTGGGACTTGACCGTCATCCTTATAAGGCAGAGTGTGATTTTTTTTTTTTATGGTAATGTGACGCGAACGATGGGCACCCAGATAAACAATCCGGCAGGCTAGCCGTCGGACCATACACGGTCCTAGAGTAATGGAAGTTACAAAATGTTGTGCTATCTCATACGGTTTGTTTTGTTTGTTTGAAGTTAAGCACAAAGTTAAAAAATGGACTGTTTGTGCTCTGGCCACCACGGGTATCGAAACCCGGCTTCTAGCGTTTTAATGTGCTACCTAATACAGTACTGGATGCCTGGTGAAACCTATTGGTATGCGGAAGGTTATTTACAGATCATGAAATGCATGCAGAGTAACTGCCGTTTCATTGCGAATTTTGACGTGATAGACAGATATCTAATTACATATAACGATACTGAATTGCCTGTAATATGCTTCCTAAACGTGATCAGTGGCTGTGGAGTGGATATGTTTTCCCCTTGCCAAAGAGAAATATGAAAATGTTTACACTGCGAAATTGTTGAGCCAAAAAACACAACATATCGAAAACAGGAAGCTTCAATGTTCGGGCCCCGGCATGGCCAGGTGGTTAGGTCGCTCGACTCGCAATCTGCGGGTCGCGGGTTCGAATCCCCGTCACACCAAACATGCTCGCCCTTTCAGCCGTGGGGGCGTTATAACGTGACGGTCAATCCCACTATTTGTTGGTAAAAAAAGTAGCTCAAGAGTTGGCGGTGGGTGGTGATGGCTAGCTGCCTTTCCTCTAGTCTTACACTGCTAAATTAGGGACGGCTAGCGCAGATAGCCCTCGTATAGCTTTGTGCGAAATTATAAACAAACAAACTTTAATGTTCGTCATGGGAACGAAAAACTCACACGTGAGAACATTTACGGGCTCCGAAACTTCAACTTATGTCTATCAGAACCAACATCTTCATCCGAAAAGTGTAGACTATTGTTACGATAAAACGAGCCCCCGCACTGAGGATTATTTTTTCTCACCTGTTCTGTTTCAAGCATAAAAACCAGGTGAACAGAAATATACATTTTGCTGTTTTACTTCAAGTCATCTGAGAAAAAAAAAAGAATCTAATAAACGAAAGTACTTTTGTCAAGAAAAGTCATAATTCATATTTATATAGGAACTTGTTTTTCTTTCGTTGTTAAGCCCAAAGTTGTACAATGGACTTTCTATTTTTCCCGCCGTGGAGATCGAACCCCGAATGTTAGCAATATAAGCCCAATGCTTTACCGCAGAGTACGAAGTGGCTTATATAAAGGAAAGAAAAACTGATAAACTTACAAAATAATACACAATGAAAATTACACGCATGTAAGTTTCCATGACATCAGCTCGAAACAGCCATAACAACGAAACTTTGACTCAGTAAAGTAGTGGGGAATTACGACAATGCGAATACGATAAACCTCAATGATTTCGTTCATAATTAACGAATTTCTGCTCATCCTGGTTTTTGTTGGCGTTTAGGTGAGTGGTATTACAGCTGTTCACAACATATGAGCCTTCGTGTGACATACTCGTTATAAGAGTAAACCTGACGGTAAACGTCATTTCTATAGAAAACTATTCTGCTTCAAGAAATTATTTTGAACGAGTAATTGCTCAAAAAGACAAGCTAATTAAACTATCTTTCGAGTTATAATTACGTAACTGTCAAAATTACACTTTGCAAGATGTTTCTACCATTATTTGTAGATGGTTTAATTTGGAATTAATTTCACAGCACATGCCAAACACACTTATTGATGAAACTACTAACACCTGTAGTTCTGGTCTACTCAGTATTTGTTTTGTGTTACTTCTGCATCTGACTATATTTATGTATAATAAAACTAAAGTGTCAAAATATAAATGTTTATCTTTCATGTTCATTATATACAAGTTTCGGTTTTCTTCTTTAATGAAGTGGAATTTGTGGTTTTAGATGTAAAATTCCGAATTTCAACTTTGCTGGTTTGGATATTGTTTTCCACACAACAGGCTAAATGCAGCTTTACTGGTACTTGCTGAACTAAACTTTCAAGTTGTATTTGTTTTATAAAACGTTGTTAGAAAACATTTGTACATTACACTTATATTTTAGAAAATTAATTTCTGTGTTCAGAAAAAGTTGTTAGGATATCGTGTATGTATTGCAAAACAAACGTTCATTCTCACTAAATATCTTGTATGTATTGCCAAACAAACGTTCATTCTCACTAAATATCTTGTATGTATTGCCAAACAAACGTCCATTCTCACTAAATATATTGTATGTAGTGCAAAACAAAGGTTCATTCTCACTAAATATATTGTATGTATTGCAAAACAAACGTTCATTCTCATTAAATACGACTGTTTAGACGCACAGTTTAAAAGAATTAAATCTTTTTCCAATTCACGAACTACATTTTCTAAAACAACATAATTTTAGATTGTACTACAATGGTTGAGCACCTTATATTAAGACGAATTTGGAACCACAACGAATTCTCAATGCAGAGATCTATAGTCAGCAACTGGTACGTTTAAATCAAGCCCTTCATTAGAAACGCCTTTCACTCGTCAATCTGAAAGGTGTTCTCCTACGCGACAATGTACATCCACATGTGGCACGTTTGGCGCAAAACAAGATTATGGAGTTGGGTTGGGAAGTTCTCCCCCCACCCACCATATTTTCCAGATATGGCACCATCAGATTACCATCTTTTTCATTCACTGCAATACCATCATAACGGGAAAACGTATGAAAATGTGGAAGGTGTTAAAGAAGACATCGACATGTTTTTTGGTTCAAAGCCAAGTGATTTCTTTAATAATGACATTAACAACTTGACTGTAAGATGGAAAAGTATCATCGATAAGAATGGAGACTATTTCATTTAATAAATGTTTTGTTTGATGTATAAGTTGTTCGGGTTTTTTTCATCAAAAAAGAAAAGCGACATTAATTTCTGGACGACCTAATATTACCGGTTCACACATATATAATCTTGTTCAAAACACGGTCTTTCTGGTTTACATCATCATAATAGCTTTCCAAGCATAATTCAGGTTCACATTGGGCAGACAACTCTCCAAATTAGTCTGTGCTGCTTGTTTTGCAGTCATGTAACAGATTTTTGAAACAAGTCAGTATAACCGGTTCTTTTCAATTCAAGGTTATTCAGTAGTCACGCCCCTTATGGCAACATACGGAATATGATGAACTGTAACACACAAATATCCTATGCGTCACGTACCAACTGCAAAACACACTTCTAGATATTAGTGTTATTAATATAACGACATCGTAAACATAGTTCTGTATTTCAGGTGTTCGTTAATAATATAACTTTGACGCAGCAGCTCATTGTTTGTAGTTTACACTGGTATGATAAGATGTAATTCAGTAGTATTGTAACTTTTAAGATGGTTTTCAGTTTTACTGGCATTATATAGTGGTTTACATTTGTTTTTATATCCTAAAAAACTCTTCAATATTATCAGTTTACTTTGGTTTTATGTGTCTTAAAGTGTTGTTCACTGTTACTTGGTTTACATTAGTTTGTTATCTCTTAAACCATTATTCATAGTTAGTGGTTTACATTAGTTTACCTCTTAAATTTCTGTTCAGTTTTATTGGTTTACATTTGTTTCTTATCTCTTAAAGCACTGTTCAGTTTTATTGGTTTACGTTTGTTTGTAACCTCTTAAAGCACAGTTCGGTGTTACTGGTTTACATTGATGAGATGTCTCCTAGAGAAGCGTTTCTCAACTTTTACGATACCAGAGCCAGTTCGCTGCCTTCCTAAACTGTCGCGGATCGCTAAAATGCAAGTACAACGACAAAAAACCGTTACGATTTACAAATGAATATTCTGTCAGCTTTTGTTTGTTAATTTTCTGCAGTGTTGCCAACTTAACTTTTCTATGATCTTTTAAAGTTCTGTTAAAATTATTATTAGTGTAAATCGGCTTGTCAGTTTTTAAAGGACTATTCAGTGCAATTGAAATACGCCAGCATAATTATTTGTAAGTTGAGTCAGGGCCATATTAAGGGTGGGGCAGAAGAATCAGCTACACCAGGGCCCCGACCGCTTGAGAGCCCCCAACGAAAATACATTTTGAAATGTTTATGCATTGTATGCACTTGTATTTATTACGGGGGTGTGACAAATTGTATTCTATCGCTCTAGGACCCATCTGACTTAAATCCGCCCCTAGCTGCAGCTCTAAGTGTTTGTGGATTTTATGATAAAACTGAAATTACAAATTATCTATAAATAATATAAGACCTAGACAAACATTTCAGAGTTTTAACTGCTCCTATAACCAAACAACAGTTCTGAAATATAAAACTGTAAACGGACAAGTGACTCTGTTACTGTTACTAGCGATGATCATTGCATTAACCTTCTGGGCCGGAAACTGACCATGAACTTAAAGTCGCTAATATAACGTGCTTTTTTTCTACGTTTCTCCAGTTAGTATATTAGTTCTAAATAACTATGAGTTTGGATTATGTTCTGCCTCTTTATACACATGCGACTGAACAAAACTTTGTGAATTGAATAAGTTCCCACTAAAACGAGAAAAATATAATTTTCTGTTTTTAGATTTCAGGATGTTGTTTTAGATTTAGATTATATGGTTTTAGGAGAATCAGTATCAAAAGAATAAAAAATGTGTTTTAGCTTCTCCATCAAATACACGTGGTCTGTTTACGATCGAGAATAAGATTATCCCCTTATTTTGACATTACCGTACATTTTCTTTCTGTTCCATCAATGTGTTTGTTTTTTCTTTTTCCCTGATCTCGACGTGTTTGTGACCGTTTTGTTTTTTCGGCGTGTCTATCGTTGGTACAGTACACACGCTACTCCATGCGTGGGCTGCGACTACAGCGCCTCCACAGGATATTTCTCACTATATAACTATGAACAACAATCAAGTGTCTCTGAATACCTGGCCCCTTCCTGTCTTGCGTCCGACACAACACTGCATTGCACCCTAGGACCTTAACAGTCCACCAACTACCAAACTTCAAGGGTAAGTGTCTCCGTTTATTTGATTCCAATTTCTCAAATTGCTGCCATAAATAAGTAGAGAATCCAAAAGGTTTATGAAATAAATCTTCCAATTTAAGAGCTACAAATTTCTAAGTAATCCAGAGGAGAGATTGTGACTTAATTTCTAGGTAATACTTTAGCATCTGAAACTTAGTACCTTGTTAGTTTCCAAATCTAAGTAATATAGTTCAACAAGTATGAGAAAACTGTGTACGCTTGTGGTGAAGATTAGCAAAATTATTGCACTCTTTTTTTCACTTTTTTTTCTTGTGGTATAACTTTATGTTTTACTGTGCATTACATAAAGCAGCTAAATTACTGTTTTTCTATATTTGGTATAACTTTATGTTTTACTATGCATTACATAAAGCAGCTAAATTACTGTTTTTCTATATTTGGTATAACTTTATGTTATACTGT